GCTATCCTGGGATTCAAGGCTAGGGCCACACCAGAGTACCCCTCAGTTCTGTCTGGCCTTCTGTTAGGAAAATGAAACAACTTCAGTCGTCAGCAGAGGTGACCAGCAGTGACTAGCACTGACATGTTCAGGCCACATTCAGCACTTGTTACTGTAAAAGGAGGTTAGAGCTTGTAAGATCTCAAGCGAAGCCCCTGCCCTACTCTCACTATGACCCTCAAGACAGCCACATATCTCTTGGGGCCCCAGGAAACTCTGACACAAGAAATCCTACAGAACCTAGCCAGGCCTGGGGTGGGGGAGGATACATCCATAATTCCAGCACTTGGAAGAGACAGGGATATGAGGATCTGGAGTTCAAGGCCAGCCTGGACTACATAGGGTTATCCCCACTCAAAAACAAAGCAGCTGGGTGTGGTGGACCACACCTGTAATCCCAGCACTCTGGAAGGCAGACAGGCGGATCCCTGTGAGTTTGAGGCCAGTACAACCAAGGCTACACAGGAAAATCCTGTCTCAAAAAACCAAAAAAGAAAAAAAAAAAAGAAAGAAAGAAAGAAAAGAGTAAGCAACAACAACAACAAAAAATTCAACACAGGCTCTACTTGACTCAGGCCTTGGCAATAAGAAAGGGCATAGATAATCAAAGAGGTATCTAGCTGAACCAAGCAGACAGTGAGGGCATCCTATTACACATCCAAACAAAGACGACCTAGCCCTAGCCGGAAGATACTGATTTACACTTAGGACTCAGGAATCATGCTGGTGATGTAAACAATTAGGCAGAGCCTTGTGGGTCTCTTGTAGGGTCCACCAAGGCAGAGCTGGCCAAGTAGTGTTTGATGTGGGTTAAAAAAATTTTTTTAATTACACTCAGCGAGATGGCTGAACCGTAAAGACACTTGCCATCAAGCCTAATGAACTGCCTGGTTCTGGAATCCATATGGTAGAAGGAAAGAGTCAATGCCCACAGGTTACCTCCTGACTTCCACATGCTTCATGGCATACGAAAGTACACATACACACTAAATAAATGTAATTTGAAATTTTTAACCTAAAAGCATTACATGATATCCAGGGGCAGAGAGGCCAGACTAGGCAAAGACCCAGGCTACACCCCTTGGGTTCTGACCCCAAGGTAAACCCCAATCTTTATGTATCTCTGTATGGACCCTCTTACACTGGCAGAAGGGCTCTATGCCAGCTTTGGATTTGGCATCATGAACACAGCCAAGCATGGACACTCCCATTGCTCCCCTCTGAGGGATTCCATTGTTCCATAGTCAGTGACCAGGCCCAAGTCAAGCAGTAACCTACTGTTCCCTTTTACGCCAGGCAGATGTGGGGCTCTGGGAGCTCAGTTCCCTCTACCACCTCTTCTTCTTCCACACACAGGTACGGAGACCCTCCCTGTCCTTCCCAGAGACAGGAATGGGTTTCAGTACTAATACCTCTGAGGCCCCAGCTCTCAGGGCAAAAGAGACACCAAGGTCACTGGCCTGGCTTCCTACCTCAAGTCATAGCCCCAACCACAAGTAATGGGGGCAGTTAAGGATGGGGGTGCGGTGTTGAAATCATGGCCTTTAAGTCCATGTGGCACCCCTTCCTGCATTACTGCAAGAGAGATACTGAGGACACTCTAGACCCAGAAAGCTTCCCCCTTATAGCTCTTCAGGGCATACTGCAGAGACTCTTCCCAGGCCTGAGTTAGGCCCCAGGCTGCCTTCTTGTGCCCTGAATAACAACCCAGAGCAGGCAGGGGAGTACAATGGATGTAATCCAACTTGCTGTATCCTTGATGCCTCATCCACAAGGGACCCTTTCCCTGAGGGTGATAAGCACCAAAGAAGACCTCAGTCTCCACACCTCATCAGGGCCAGCAGCAACAGCAGGACAGTGCAAACAGTCCACGTGGGTTTCTGGGACGGAGGAATGACCAGGCTAAGAACACACAGGACTCCAGACTTCCAAGCAAACCAACACATTTTACTGTGGCTCAGACTACCTTAGACTTTACTTACTCCAGCCCAAGAACTAGAATGCTGTAAGGACTTGACCAGCTTTTGGACAGGAATCTGCTCCGCTCCAGACCTCCAAGAGTCCTGGCACAGAAGGTTTCTCTGAAAATTCTACTACAGGAGCTGTGTGGTCAGCACATGCCAAGTGGGGTTCGCTCACTGCCCACAGGTGGTCCTCTTGCCCACCCCAACTGTGTCCACAGTGCTAAATGCCCACAGAGGAGGCTGAGCCCGGTGGTCAGGCGTGGTCACCGGCTCTCTTCTGCACCACTGCGGGCCTGGACAGAACCTGCTCCTGAAGCCGCTGGACCAGCTCCTCTACGTAGACCTTGAACAGGGGTACAGGGTCCTGAAGGGGAGAGGTCATGGTAAGGCTCAATGTGGCCCAGGGATGGCGCTCTAAGGAGGGTGGTAGCCAGCTGCTTCTGACTGAACATGGAGAAGAACTGGGGTGTGGAAGCACTGGAGATGGGCACAGGCACAATCACATAAGACTTGCCTGCCATCCTGGAGGGCAGTCTAACCACAAGAACAGGACTGCTTTCTTATGGACACCGAGAGTCACATGCCTACCCCTGGCTTCCCTGTACTGACGGCCACCACAGGCTCTCGACTGTTCTGGGAAACAGACACAAGAGGAAGACCCTGGGGGATTCTGGGTGGCCAAGTGAGCACCCAGTGCCAAAGAATCCCTGAGCACTCATGGGAAGAGAGGGAAGGACCTCAAGAGACGAGGCATGCCATGCCTCTTCAAAGTGGCAGAAACCAAATGTATGGTGGCATTTAGATGTGGAAGTCCCTAAATACTAGTCTCTCTCTAAAGCAGGCCCCTCCCCAAACCCTACCCCATCACTCCTCAGTGGCTTGAGGTCAGCCAGTATACAGGTGCTCACCTTTTCCTCCAGAAGCCTCTGTTTCTCCACAGCCTCCTCCAGTGTCAGGCCAACCCACTCAGCCTCTGCCTCCGGGATGACAAAACTCTGAGCAAGCAGAAAAGGGCTCTGTGAGACACAGGGCCGGGCCAGAAGCCTCGAGCAGCAAGCAGGATGGGGAAACTCTCACCTTGTACTTGTCATAGATGGCTGCTCTCCGCTCAGGGTTATCAGGGTGTAGCTTGGGGTCTTGGCGAGCAAGCCTCAGCAGCATCCCTCGCTTCAGGTCCATGCCAAACTTGGAGCACAGGTCCTCCTTTGGGGTCTGGCAGAAGGTTCACATGGGGCCAGGTGCTACAAGCAGGCTCCCACCCACCCCATCGGCTGACCCTGTGGGTTCCCCCTCAGCTGCTGGCAGCCCTAAGCTAGACAACAGCACAACAGGCACTGGGATCAGCACCAGCATCCCAGCCTACATGGGTCAGGCCCAAGGCAATCCCAAGAAGGTTAAGAGGTGGCTACAATCCTTCAGTTTCCTTGGTCAGGTCAGCAGCTCTCAACAAAGGCAGAAGGCACCCACTGGGGCTGCACCAAAGAGGACTCAATACACTGTGTTTTGCTAAGGCTTGTAAACGCTACCGTGGGGATCATGTACTCCCCACCCCGGCCACCTTCAGTGCTGCTCCGCACTTCCCCCGTGTCTGACAAGACCCTGTAGTGCACTAACCCCTGCTTGCCTTGAGAATATAGAAGTCCAGTCCATAGGCCTCGTCAATGAGATCCAGGGTCCTCATGGTCACAGTCACGGTGAATTTCTTGTCCAGGATTTCACTGTAAAGCTCTCGAGTGAACAACTGAGGTTTCCACACCTTCTTCACCCTCGTGGAGAGCTGAGTGTGCAAGAGACACCTGTTGACTGTGTTTCCCTACAGACCTAGTGGGCCCCAAAGCATCTTTCTGCCCCCCTCACTTCCTCAGAGGCTTCACAGAACCATTGCTGCTAGACAGGGCTCCTGTGGAGAGTCAGATAAGGTTCTGCCCCTTGTAGGCTGTGGGCATCTGGGGAGCTCAGTCTGCAATTTTTATGTGGAAGAAGCAAAAGTATCCTGTCACAAGAATTAGGCAAATGCTCATAGAAACCAGCTGATAACAACCAGATTTCACCTCTCCCTCCTCTTTAGCACCAGCCTAGAATTTATTATCCTTCCTTTCTTTTCTCTGTGGTGCTCAACCCAACATCTTAAGTATGCTAGGGAAGCACGCTACCACCCCTGCTCTACCGCAGCCCCACTCTATCTTTACTTTTGATGCCTACCTGATCAGGACCACCCCACTTCAGGACCGCACTAGACTTTGCCACTGGGATTCTCTAAACCCTCAGCGCTTCACTGGTTAGCATGCTCCGTAAACACAACGCTTGTGTCAGCCAGGCTGACAGTCGGCAGCACCCAGGGCAGAGCCCGCCCAGCAAAGCACGCAGAGCCGCCGAGATGGCCCGCACCCACCTTGTCGTTGTTGGAGTATCTGTAGCCCAAAATGAACCCTTCTCCACCCCACAGTCCCTGCTGGGACTCTGGGGGGTAGTAAATTGGAATGGGTACGTCCTCAACGCGCTCGCGCTGCCCATTCTTGGGGTTGATCTTGAACTTGGCCCCGTGAGGTTTGAAGTGTACCGGGGTCGGTGTCCGCTCTTCTTCCAGCGAGCGCAGAAAGTGGGCGGGCAAGCGCGCGTAGATGCCTTGCCGCAGCCGCAACTTCTGCCACAGGTGCACAGGATACTTGTGCAGAAGCATTGCGCGACCCTCTACCCCTTGGAGTTGCGCGCCCGAGCCTGACGGAACCGGAAGAGCGTCACCGAACGTGCGCCTTTACTCACTGCCAATTGGCAGCAACGCCCATCCATCTAAACTGATCTCTTTGCCTCCGCCTTCTTTAGGGACCATGGAAAATTATCTACTTAAAATGTAATCGTTCAAGGCACCGTCTGCCAATTGTAGGCCTTCCCAGGCGTTCCCCAGCAGCTTCGGCAGTCCTGCAAATGGCTACCTTGGGTCCAGCCTCCCTTTTCCCTCTAGGGACGCAAGAAAAAAAAAAAAAAGTAAAACACTCGTTTGGTTTGAAAAATCATTGTAGAATATTAAAGTTACCAATTACATAAAAATATGCCTTCATCTCATAGAACATTTTACCACCTTCCCCCAACAGTACATCTGTGTTTCCCCTTTCAGGGGCTGAAGTGTGCTTTGGTGGCCAAATCCAGGGTGTCAGAAAGCCTACACCTGTAATCCCAGCACTCAGAACAGGCAGGCCTCACAGTGGGACCAGCCTCATATGGACAGGGCACCACTGCATCGTCAGCTCTGAGAGCCCAGGGGGCAACAGAAAGATTGTGCCAGGGCCCCAGAACCTCAGTTGATCCAGTGGGGGTCAGCCTCATCCACGCACCTAGGCCAGCACACAAGAATGCTCGGGAGACTAGGGCCGAAGACCCTTAGCATGAGAAGGGCACACCAATAGTGCCATCTGAGTCTTCTAGAGCCACGCCTCCTACAGCTGAGCAGCCTGCTACCCCAGGCTCTTCCCAGGCTCTTGGGCTCCAACAGAGGAGGAGGGACAGTGCAGCAGCCAGGGTCTTATCAGCTCTCCGATGACCTTGGACTCTACCCCAGCAACTGCAGCAGCAGGGCATCTCCATGCCAAGGCAGGATAGCATTCAGGGGTACATGCTGTCAGGGATAATGGACTCTGTGGACTCAGCCTTCCTTGCCTTGTGGGTCTCACATCACAGCTGCACAAAGGAATGGGACAACAGGTATCCCTTATCTATAGCTCCAGCCATAATAGAGCAATCTGCTTACACATAGTACCTGTGGTCTCCAGGTGGAAGCGGCTGTGACCTACAGAGGAATCGGCAGCAGCCACAGAGATTTGGGGGTAGATGGGTGCTCTCCTCTGCCAAAAGAAGCCAAGGGTCTCAGGACAGTTTTATTCTGATGGAAACCTGGTTGGGGCTAGACAGGTGCCTCTTTTGTCCCAGTCCTATCCGAAGAGGTCATTAGAGTATCAGGTGTCCATGAGCAACCATATCATGTTACTGTGTATAACTCATCCCGGTCATTCCTGCAGATCTGGTAGTGACAGGGGATCTTCTGCAAACAAGCCCAGGGCTCAGACTGCTCCTCTCGTGGTGGCAGAAGAAAAGCTGCACTACCAGCCAATAAAATATGCCAAATGCTGTGGGTGTAGTAGTAATTCTCACTGGTCATCATTGAAGTGTAGATGGCGATGCCTACAGAGGCCATGGAGATGCCAGGCAGGAGGTAGAAGACCCAGCGCCGCCATGAGGTAGGGTAGCACTGATGCCGGTGCCCACAACGGTATATCTGGAGTGGACAGCCACATGAGTGTCAGTACAAGCCAAGCGCAGTTACAGTTCCCAGAGGCCCAGAGCCAGGAGTTTTGGGGGCCTATCTAGATCTAATCAGCAGAACTGCTTATGGACTCATGGCTGGGGGTTCTCAGGCCAAGCCCATAGGCACACAACCATATTGGGGCTCCATGGGTAGCTGCTACTGTCCCTGAACAAATGTGGAATTTTGGAGCCCTCCAAGCAAGAATGGGATCATAACCAGAATTAAGGGCCTAGCTCTCTTCTCCCTGAGTCTGAACAGGAAAACCCGTGTGCCCTGTTCCTTACCCACATGGAGGCCATGATCACAAAGGCAAAGAGACAGGGTCCCATCAAGTTCCAGATGGCCCTGCGATCCATCTGCAAGGACATGGCAATGACCAGTATGCCCAGGACAAAGAGGACCTAGGAGAGACACAGGGATGGTTTGTAGGGTCATAGGAACCTTTGGCTGAAATCACCTGTGGCATAAGACACAACAGGCACTGGTGGCCAGTTTTCCACCATTCTGGCACCTCTGCCAGCTCCTCTTATGTGTTATTGGCAGATTCTGCCCCATTCCCACTCAGCCACCTGGCAGGGAAGTGTCCTTCTTCTAGCCCCTTTACTGTGTCCAAAGGCCCTTTTGGATTAGGTATGATGGCAATCCTAATGGGCAGTCTTGGATACACTTGCACAATGTTGCACACCAAGCCTTCCAGGGGTCCTCATCAGGATGGCCTTAGACACTCCCTGGGAGGGGACCCTGTGCCTAAGTTTCCATCAGCACATCTGCCCACGGCCTGCAAGCTCGTGCCTCAACACTCAGCCTCCTGGATCCGCATGCTTCAGCACTTTCCTTGCCCACTCTTCAGGATGATAAGGGTGCCCCTGATGGGCAGTATCCAGCCTGTACACAGAGGACACAATTCACAAGCACCGAAGAGTCGAAGAGTCATCTCTACTGTTCAGCTCCTGCCTTAGAGTCCCCAGAGTGCCCCTGGACAAGGACCTCAGGAGCATGACTGAGGTTTCTCAGGGAGGCCTGGCCTGGTTCCCCTTTGAGATTAGGTTCCTGGATTCCCATCTTCCTTCCCGGAGTCCACTGAAGTGTAGCTTGACACCCAGCCCCTTCCATGTTATCCCTCCTTGCCACTTCACATACTTTATGTGAGGGCCTCTGCTTCCCTGCAGCCTAGGTTTGGCATCAGAGGCCACTCACCTGTTTCAGGATTGTCTTCAGACGGGCCATGCAAAGAATGGTTACCCAGGTGGACGCCCCCGAGCCCAGAAAGTCGCAGTACTGTAGTGTGTCATAGCTGAGGATGCACAACACTGCCTCCCCCGGCTGGTCACAGGCGTGGTAGAACTGTGAGGTGAAGCAATGAGCAGCAGCCCTGACCTCCCCCCGACCCCAAGTTCCCAAAAGGACTAAGTCTAAGCCTACCGTGGAGAAAAACATGGTGTAAAAGTAGACCAAGGCCTCAAGCAGGAAGGACCGGTGCAAGGACACAACGATGGGGACCAGGAACATGAGGTTGCTGAGCGTGAGCAGGAGTGTCGCTGCCCTCTGCTGGGCTACAGTCTGGGCTGTGCTGTTGTCCGTGCAGCTCCACCCACGCCAGCCTAGGGGGCCACACAATACCCAGGTGTGTGCTGGAAGCGGATAGGAAGCTTCTGAACTTCAGGGCCCCTTCCTCACCCAGCAGGAGGCTGTGTAGACAAGCCTGATGGAATCCACAGGTGTGATAGGAGGAAACAGGAACGAATAGAACTTGGCATAGACAAGTGTGGGCAGGCATCGGCAAGTGGGGACAGTTGTGGGCAGTTTGGGACAGTTGGAAGATGCCTGTAGACATGGGGAGGTCTGGGACAAGTATATACAACCACAGTAAGTATTGTCAGGCATGGAGAAGTAAGGATAAGCATAGTTGGTGCAGGCAGGCATGGATCATGGGAAATAGGTATTGATGAGTGTGTGTAGACATAGATACGTGGCCAAGTATGCCCAGCCATAAGCAGGCATGAGCATGGAGAGAGATGTGTGAAACAGGTATATGTAGGAAGGGATAAGTTGGCAGGGACAGATGCAGAGATATACGGACATGTAGGAACCAGTGTGCCAAGTATGGACAGACAGAAGCAAGTGTGACTATGCAGAAACTACCATGAAAAAGTGTAGATCAATATGCAGGCACAAATGTGTGAGCAGCAGGACACAAGCACAGACAAGAGTGGGCAAGGGAACAAGCTGTAGGCACTGTGTGGGTATGGAGGTAGCCAAGGGCAGGCAGGATGCAAGCAATGCCAAAATCAGGAAACAGAAACCTTCCTGCAAACGCCTCGGTGTCCGTTATGCCTGGACTGTGGGGCAGGAGGAATCACAGGGCGCATGGGAAGAAGTAGGAGTTTTGTCCCTGCTCTGCACGATCATTCTCACCTGCCTTGCAGCTGCAGCCTGCATACAGATAGCCGTATCTCCGGAGCAGGAGGCACTGGCCGTAGGGTCCACAATCATTCAAACAGGGCACTAGGTACAAAATGGTCTCCACCCGAGCCACAGCATGGTCACAATCCCTGCAAAGGAGGGGCCCGAGAAGGCTGGCTGTAGCTCTCTGCCAGTCACACCACCACTAGGACTCCCAAGCCTGGAGCTGAGCCCTCCAGGCTCCCACAGCTCAAACACCCGTTTCCCCTGCTAGTGTAGGATGGGGGCAGGTAGAAAAGGAGAACCCCTCCTAACACACAGATGCTGCCCACTCTTCATTGCTACCAGCCCATGTCATGTTGCCCCGGCCCAGGTTCACATACTCAGGACTGTCAGGGCACACAAGCTGCAAGGAGAGGTACCAGTTGTCTGTCTCCGGATAGGGAATGATGAGGTTGGCCATGGGAGATGAGGCACTCAGAAACATGGGATAGCCCTGGAAGAAGGCTGCATGGGGTGGGAGGGCCTGTCAGAGGTGGCTAGAGGGGCCAGTCAGTCTCTCCACCAAAACTGCCTGCCCAGAATACCTGTGGTGCAGTTGAATGAAGTGTTGAAGCTGAGGAAAGGCGAGGCAACATTCACACAACCTGCTAACAAGGTGCCATTTGTGAACTCTGTCTGGAAGCGGACGTAGTGCAAGTTAGCCATTGTCAGCCCCCAAAAAGACACCCGAAGAGGCAGCTCGCCTGCCCACCCTGCATTTTAGTTCAGTCATGCTTAGTACTTTTTCAGGTGGAGCCCAAGGTTCATCATGGTCCAAATTCTCCTTAATTATCTCTAGTTCCAGCGATTCCCCTGCCCATTTGCACAGATACAATTATGATAACTTCTGACAGGGACAGGGTTACACCTAGGGAAAAATCTTCTACCCTCAGATAAATCCCCTTCTGGCCCACACTGTTGTCACTCTATGGTCCACAAGGCCACCTCACCCCAGTCTCAATGCTGAAGGCACCCTGTATGTACCCTGAGCTAAGCCCAGGTCACAAGCAACTGCAGACAGCTTTAGTGGGCTTCCGGGAGATACCTGGTTAGCCCTCAGGGTGATGATGAAGGAGCCTCCACTGTCCATGCCCGTATCAAGACGGAGCTGCATTACAGAAGGCAGTTTTGAATGCACCAGCACGAAGGCCCCAGTCAGGGGCTGGAAGTGTACAGAAACCACGTCTGTGTCCTCCCTCAGGACTGGGTAGTTCAGGAGACAGAAGGGGCCATCTCCTCCCCTGCCACTCCTGCCCAGGTCCCAGTAGGCAGCGATTTGGGACAAGTGGCCTGTAGAGGTGCCATGGCTCTGATTTGGGTTGCTTTGCATAAGATGATGGAAGGTCACACTCCACGGCTTACACGCTGTCAAGAAGACAAAAGGCTCAGCCAGAAGAAAGCTTGGAGTTTTGAGGGAGGTAGGCAGAGGCAGTCCACTCCTCCCTCCCACGCAGCCCACCTGTAAAGGCAGCTTTAGCACTGAAGACCACTGATACATGTGATTCTTCGAGGCTCTCAGCTGACACTTGTAGCCACCGGCCCCAGGGTGGAGAGGACAGAAGCAAATGGCAGGTTGGGGTGAGGCTAGCGCAAATCAACACCTTTTGGAAGTTCATGGGCAGGGTGGCTGCACCCACCGTGAGACGTACTGGGCATCCAGGGCTCACACTGGACACACAGCCCTGCAGTTCCAGTCGAAGCTCCTGGGTGTATTCAGGGACAAAGATCCTGTGGCAAGGTGGTGACTCAGACTCACTAGCTCATATGTGTGCTTGCTCCCTCTACTCTGCTTGGGGGAGGTATCTGGCCTCTCTCCCCAGCATGCCTCTAAGGTATAGCTTTCTCACCTGCAAGATGAGAGAGTGCCACCACCCGCTCTAAACCCAAAGGTGGGGGACAGGACAGACTGGGGCTCCCCTGTTTTCCACTCACTTGAGGTAGCTGGGGTGAGAGAGCAGCGTCTGTGGGAGGGGAACGTCAGGCTCTAGGATGGAGACTTCAACCACCCTCATGGCCAGCATGTCGGGCTGGAAGGTGTAGTCACAGGTAGGAACAAAGCCCTAGGAGAAAGCAAGGCAGGGGGTGATGGAGGTCAGAGAAGGTAGGATGTAGGCCAAAGGAGAAGATCTCTGAGGGACACGGCGTTGAATCTGGAGTTGGGTAGCTGAGAGTAAGGTCTGCCACAGAAATGGACATGAGGTTAGTCCCCCCATGCATCCAGGGGTTTGGCCTCCATCCTGGGAGATCAGCCCTCTCACCTTCACCTGGATCTTCTGGGATGAGGGAGGGAGGTGAGCAACCACGAACCAGTCCCCAGGGGCTGGGTGGGAGATGTTGACAGAGGTGTTGTCCAGCAGCATGGTACTCAGCAATGCCCTGACCTGAAAGGAGGTCTGATTCAAGGTGTTGTCAGGGAAGCTGGTGCCCAGCGGGTTGATGACAGGAGGGGCGCCATAGCGGAAATGCCTGGAAGAGATCAGATCAATGGTCAGGGTCAGGGTTTCAGCCAGGCATAGGTGCTCGGGGCAGAATGCTGGGTACCTACACTGTGATTTCTACATCGGTGCATGAGGGACCTCTCTGGGACACATGCAGTATCCAACGAAGCAGCACAGTGTCTGGGGGCACGCGGAAGTGGAAGAGCCGGGTGCTGCCATACCAGCTGTAGAAGGACAGCTTCTGTGGGGCCTGTGTGAAGTGTTCAGATGCCAGCCCAGCCTCTACAGGGAAAAGGGAATACTCAAGTGGGTGGGGCAGAGAGGAAGAATGAGGCCTGTAAGGCAGGAGGTACTTGGATAACAAATCTTAGGCCCACTTTGACCTTTGTTGTTTCTCAGACTTTGACCGTAACCAAGGTAGAAAATGCCTTCCAGCACCTGCAGGTTGTTTGCAGTGATCAGAAGTTTGTCCTAGAAATGAGCTTATTCCTCTGCCTCCTCTCCCCAGATAGCCACAGCCTCCTCACCAGGGACTCTTATCTTCTCACACTACAGCAACTTGAAACAATGAAGCCAGTACCCCCAGCACCCACCACCTTCCAGATGGACCCACCAGGGACAATCAGCTCTCTTTCGGCATGTTGGTTGGTCAGTTCCACCCCTTACACAATATCCTGCTATATCCAGGCCAAGAGATGGATACTGAGCCAGGCACAGGGGTCGCACGCCTGTAACCCCAGCACTCTGGGAGGCAGAGGCAGGAGGCCAGTCTGTTCTACAAAGTGAGTCCAGGACAGCCAAAGTTATACAGAGAAACCCTGTCTCTAAAAACTAAAAGAGAAAGAGAGAGACTTAAGGTACAGCAGGAGGCAGTCAGGAAGGAGATCCCACCCCTGCTTGATTATTGGAACACAGCAAAAGCTCCTCCCACCTCACCTCCTCTGAACTACCAGTAGGTAGGAAGGCTGTTACGACTTAGGACACAGTCAGATCCCTACCCAGAAAGAAGCTGGACAGCCATAAGAAAGAAGGGACAGGTGCTCTCTCTGTTCTAAATGGGCATGACCTCCGAATGCCCTCAGGGCACACACCCATGCATGGTGGTACAAAGACAAAGCAGAGGACCAGGCAGATAAACCCAGAGCCCTCAGGCCCTGCCTCAGCTTACAGGCTCCTACCCCATACCTAGTACAAGCTCAGGCCCTGTGCCTGTATGATCTTGGGTGTCTCTTACCTCTCTAGATCCCTGTATCCCTATGGGTAGGCTAAGGTAGACTGCTTGCCCCTTTGAGGTTAATGAGTGATAAAGTGCTTGAGGAGAAACACTATTTGGCATCCTTCCCACTCAGGAAGCCTCTCTTTGCCCTGCTGTGGAAAGGGTGCCTGGTTCCCTCAGGAGAGGGGAGAGGGAGTCAGGTGGGCAGCTGGCTTTCTTGCCAGACACGTGACTCCTCCAGAGGAGGAGAGGCACCTGGAGAAAAGATAGCAGCCTCCTGCAGGGAGGCTAAGGGAGCTGCAAAGAAACCTGGCATGGGGGCAGGGCAGAGTGAAGCTCCCTCCATGAATTCCAAGCTCTCTGGTATGTGCAGGTCCCATTCACCAGGTTGAGGCCTGAATGCCCAGGAGCTAAAACAGGCCCTAAGGTGGGGGACAGGATAATGGAGCAGAAAAATTGTGAGGTAAAATATTGTTCTCTGGGGTGAGGCAGGGCAGATTGCACCCCCTCGGTCTGTGGGGTCTTGGACAGGCAGAAACCCAAACCTCTGAGAAAACAGGGTGGGAGAGCTCACCCTACAGTGTGCAGCACATTTGACTATGGGAAAAACCCTTGGGCTCCACAAAGTCTTTGTGAGGGAGGACATGTGGCGCAGAGCTGACAGCCTGTGAGGCCTGTATACTTAGATGAGACCTATTCAAGGTTGCCAAACTCTCATATTTAAACAACTCCTCTGGGTTTCCTTGATGAAACACGCAGTTATTTTGTTGGAACAAATAGGACCTGGACCATTGGCATGAGAGTGTGAGCTCCAGGCAACATCAGGAAGGATGGGAGGGCCTGCTGAGCAAGCCCATCTTATCTCCCACAACACCCCCATTGGCATAAGGTTCAGTAGATAAAGGGAAAAGAAAGTCCCTGAGCTTTCCCTGGGAACCTGAATGAAGGCACTCTGCCCCACACCTTCCAAACCCCAGCAAGGGGCAGAGATACTGTCCACCTGTCACAGATGGTAGCAACCACAGCCACAGAGCCACTTGTCCTTCACTTAGCCAGTGACCCTTACTTAGGCTTAGTCCCAGGGATGGAGGAAGAAGAGCAAATACGATGTGGTATGGATCAATTTATCAGAAGGTCTTTAGGGAATACTGCCTTTCACTTCAAAGCTGTGTCTACCAGAAACAAGAAGGAACATCCCTCAAAATAACAAGAGCTCTGGGGTGCGATATTTCAGAGAAGGGGAGAGGGTTGGAAACCGGAAGTGGGAGTCAACATTAGAAAAGCTCTAATGAACACCAGGTAGCACAAAGGACTCCCGGGCGTTATAGGCGACACTGAAAAAGGGAAGAAACTCATTTCTAAATGTCTAGGGCCTCACTGACTACCACTGCCCTGCCTCAAGCAGAAGCCAGAGGGTCAAAGTGCTAACTGCCTCCTGCAAAGAGCAGCTGGAAAGCTCCCTTACAGAAAGGACCCTTTCGTTACATCCATTCCGATCAGCCAGCTTCTTTAGGACCAGCTGGCAGTACAGTCGGTGAGAAGCAAAACCAGCACTCAAGAGTGGCCTTCCTGGGATTACTACATGAACATAATGCTGGCTGGACCCCTAGCCCAGGGTCTGCCCAACTTTCTCCAGCTCTACCCTTCTACCAGATGACCGCCCTCGCGCCGCCATGGTTCGACTATTCTTCGGAGATAGATTCCTCTAACTCCCGGCTCTTAGGTGCCACAGTCGCGCCCCCAGAGCACCCGGGAGACGGCCCAAGAGGTTACGCTCCAAGTGAGCGAACTCGGCGGGCCCGGAACAGCAAAGCGGACTTGGGAGGGAGGGGGTTCTGCCCCGGATGCCCCGCAGGGGGCGCAATCCAGGGTAAAGACCTCGTTTCGACGCTGCGCCAGGTGAGCGCACAGGTGCCCCCCGTGAGTCACAATCCGCCCCGCCCCCCGCCCGCCCCCTGCCCCCGGCCCGCGCCGCCGATGGCGCTGTAGGCCCGCGCGGGCTCACCGCTCTTCTTGCTGTTGCCGGCGGCGGCAGGCGGAGGCCGAGCGAGGAGCAGCAGCAGCAGCACCAGCAGCGGCCCGGCCGCTGCCGCCTGCGCTGTGCCCCCGGCCCCTACCCGGCCCATGGCTCCGCGCTGGGCCGGCGCTACCCCGCCCGCGTCCCGCGCCGCTCGCCCCCGCCTGGGCAGCCCCAGCCGCCTCTGCGGCCGCCGCCGCTGCCTGTGCCCAGAGGTCCCATGGCTCGGCCAGACCTGCCGCCAGCGCCCCGGGCACTTCCGCCTCCGAGGCCCCGCCCCGCGGGGAGCCGGCCTGAGGTCTGGGTCCCTGAGGGTGCGGGACCGCGTCACCTTGGCCAGAGGGGAGGCGGCGTACAGCAAGGGGCCCCGGAAGGTCGCATTTGGAGGGGACGCGCACTCGCGACCGATCACGCAGCTTGAGGGGACGGGCAGCACAGGATGAAGGGTCCTGTGGAACGCCCTGGGATACGGAGGACAGACGTCACGTGGGAGACAGTGAGGTGGGATGCCGGGCAAAAGGGGCCACGCAGGGCCAGAGACAGGACGCGGAGCGACGGGATCATGCGTGACCTGGGTGGATTTAGGGCAGGGGCTGTCAAACGGAACCCCAAAGGACACGGGACTAGGGTCGCGAGGCACTGGAGGTGGGGGGAAATGGTCGTAGGGGAGGCACCATAGGACACACGAATAAAGTCATATGAAGGCATGGGAGCACACAGAAGTTTTACATGGTACTCATTTACGGACAGATGACATGGGGACGGAACGGAGGGGCCACGCAAAACAGGAACACAGAGTAGCGTGGGTACTAGCTGGAATCTGTTGGATGTTCGAACCGGAGGGCAGTAGTACAGACCTCAGCAATTTGTACGCCAGAATCAGCGTTCCATGAAGGCGCGCTCTGACCTTGCTGTGATGAACCGAACCGGAACCACACACAGCCCCAAAGGTATAAACGACTAAATGAAAACGGGAAGGTGCTTTTTGCACCCGTGAGAATTGACTAACCGAGTTTCACGTCAGTGTTACATGAACTCTGGGTACTAGAGGGGATATGTTCAACATATTCCAAACATATTAAAGACACGGTTGCAAAGAAAGCCCTACGAGAGGACTTGGGGAAACAGTCACGAGAAGAGGCTTTTCTAAGAAGTCATGCGAAGCAACAACAAAATTAAAATGCATTAAAAAAAAAAAAAGGCAAGGCAGGTTGCAGCCAACTTCAAAGGGTAGTCATGTAAAGCTGAGTGTGAAAGAAGAAAATTGCCATGAGACTGAGGCCAGCCTGGGCTACAGATACTAGTAAAGTGTTCCCTGCATTATTATTACCGGCCTTCTCATAGAAAGTGATAAAGGGCCAGAGCAGTGATACCGCAGGCACCTTTAAACCCAGCATTTGGGAGGCAGAGGCAGACAAGTCTCTGGGTTTCAGGTCAGCCAAAGGTACTCCGAGGGCCCTGTCTTGGGGGAAAAAAATGATAAAGGTCAAGGTGCTACAGGATTCCTAAAACATTATTCAAATTAGAACAGGACTACGTCCTGTGTTAGAGAATGTTAAATAGTGAGGTCATTTTTATCCTTTTGCCAAACAAAGACCAAAACGCTTGATCTGTCGGGGAAGATGGGGCCCAGATTAGAGATGTCACCAGGGAGCCTCTGGACTCTACAAAAATAGCCAAAGCCTGCCCCCATGCTCTATATTTCCTGTTTATCCTTCCAATGGTCATTGACGTGTGGGACTGTGTGTGCCCACTGCCACACTGGTAGATGCACCTATAAATTGGTCACTGAAAACAAGCATGGCGGAGCACACCTTTTTATCCCAGCAGTAGGGCGGTAGAGAGGCAGGGGATCCCTACATTCAAGGCCAGCCTGGTTTACAGAGGGAGTTTCAGAACAGCCAGGGATACGCCCGAGAAACCCTGTGTCAACAGGCCCTGGGGGAGGGGAAACAGGTGGCTAGGAAGGGAAGACTGGACCGTATCTGCTTTTATCTCTTGAATGTTTTACAAAGTAGGGGGAAGGGATTGCTAAGCCTGCTAACGTGGCATTGAAGACCCAAGAAGGGCAGGTGAAGGGTGTTGGCCACTGAGGAAGGAAGCACAGTGTGCAAAGCCAAAGGAGACCCTTTGTTGCTCTGGAATCCAGGCTGAGCCCTGCTAATTTCAACAGCAGGGGCCCCACAGGCAGCTCTCAATTTAAAGGGACAGACATCATTTGAAACTTCTGCTGAGTTGACTTTTTTAGTGTACTGCTCAGTGCCTTCTGAAGCTACCCAGAGTCTTTATGGGCAGTTCCTTATGGGATGACTGCTCTATTGGCTGCCCGAGACTGCGCTCTGGGCTCTGGGCCCCCCTCTGCCCGCTCCAAAAGCCCTTCCTGAGAGCGTCATTATGGAGGAGGGTTGCTGTGTCTTACGGGTGGAAAGCAGGCAGCGGCACTCCCTCCTGTACCCATCTAAGAGCTATAGCGCTGTGGTGGATGGCCACTCAGCCCTGGGACTGAAGTCTAAGGGCTTTTGCTGAGTAACAGCTGAGGAATGGGAGGAACCACCAGGAAATAATAGCTCTATTGCACTTACGGTTAGGGAACCATAAATGCAAACGCTCACTTGTGTTGGCCTGTCCTGTTGGCCTCCTGGTCAGCACAGGCTGCAACGGTTTCTGCAGTTTTCAGCAGGACTGTGAACTACCTTGTAGCCAGAATTTTAGGGCAAAAGCCCTGGTTCCAACAGCTTAAAAAGATGAATAATAGAGCTGGAGAGATGGCTCAGAAAAGCATTTTGTGCTCTTACAGGGCCTGGGTTCAGTTTCTAGCACCCACATGTTGGCTCACAACCAATCTGCCACTCCAGTGTCAGGGGTTTGACACTGCCTTCTGGCCTCCTGGGGCACTGTATACACTTGGTACACATACATGCATGCAGACAAAACATTTGTACACATAAAATGTTTATTAAAAAAATATGGTTAGCCATGGTGGTGTACCCCTTTAATCCTAGCTCTTATGAGGCAGAGGCAGGCTGTTCTCAGTGAGTTCAAGGCCTCCATGGTTTACAAAGCAAGGCCAGCCAGGGCTACAATGTGAGATACTGTATACACACACACACACACACAGACAGACCATTTAATCAGAACAGGTAAAGAAGACCAGTAACCCCAGGGCATTTTCAGGGTACTAATATGAACCTTAGGAATAGAAGAAGAATTCAAACCAGGGCCTAAAGTTATCCGTAATTAGGCCATCTTAGTCCAAGGGTGGGTCCACCATAATTATCTCAATTTCAGTCTGAAAATGTGCTCTGGTAAATTGTTAATCAGGGCTGAAGAAATGGCTGTGTTAAAGGACACAATTTCAGTTCCCAACATATGTATTGGGTGGCTCACAATTGCCACCCAGTTCCAGCCAACACTTTCCTCTGGTTTTCACAGGCACTGTGAGCCACATATAATTAAAAATGGAAATGTTTCTTAAAGTTGTTAATTGCTGTCTGATCTGTTAATCATCATCTTCACCTAAAGGAACTGATCTGGTTCCAACGAAATTATCTGTTCAGAATGTAGCTTCACCATTATGAATAACTGTCCTTGTTTTGGGACTCCCATATTCATCTTCAGCAGGTGGCCGTGAATAGACAACAGGAACTCCCAACAGCCTGGAAGAGGATCCAGAAATGGATGTGTTCATCCTACCTGCAAAGCCTTGCTGTTGTTGTAATCTAAGGTGCCTAGATTAGAACAAGCTTAGAACAAGGATTCTTTTGGCTTTTAGCCTTGTAGGGGTAAGAAATGGAGAGATAATGTCTCCTTCATGATGTCCCTGTCTGTAATTAAACTGGAGTCCAACTCAAGGTCAATGAAACATAAAGGCAAAAAGTACCATATTTTGACCCCCTCCCTCTTTTTTAAGTTATATTGTGGGTCCAAGTGAAGAATGAATGTTTTTTAGAAAAAAATAAGGGGTTGGAGAGATGGCTCAGAGGTTAAGAACACTGGCTGCTCATCCAGAGGTCCTGAGTTCAATTCTCAGCACTCACATGATGGCTCACAACCATCCATATTAAGATCTGGTGTCTTCTGGCATGTAGGCAGAACGTTGTATATATAATAAATAAAATCTTTTCAAAAAAGAAAAGAAAAAACAAAACTACAACTAAGTGCCTCCTAAAACCTCAGCCCTTGAAAATTAATGTTCTAGCACTTGGATGTGGTAGAAACTCCAGGAGCTCAAACACTCAGAACTGCCTGCTACTGCAAACACCCAAGAGCTCTGTGAACAGAATAAGTCATAGAGATGTATTCCAATGTCTTATTTCTTCTCCTTTTTAAGACAATTTCACTATATAGCCCAAATTGTTTTCAAAACCAGTATATAGGGGCCTGGAGAGAGGCCTTCGTGGTAGCCCTGGCTGCTCTTGCAGAGGGCCTGGTTTGATTCTCAGCACCCACATAGCTACTCATAACCTGTAACTCCAGTCCAAGGGGATCTGACTCTTTTCAGGCCTCACCCAGCATTGTACACGCAAGGTGTACAAACCTGCTTTCGGGCAAAACCGATAGATTAATAAAAGAAATGAGGCTGGTCAACCTGTCTTCGAGGTGAGAGGTTTATTAGGTGGGTATGGAGGGAAGGGGGGGGACAGGACATTATGGGGAGAGAGAGAAAGGGGGGAGGGCGCCCCAAGAGAGAGAGAAGAGAAGAGAGAGGAGTCAGAGCATAAGAGAGCCTGTCAGGATGTTCCTTTAAGGGGCAAGGTAACCACGCCTTCCAGGTGTGGCCACCTGGCCTGCGAAGCATGATGACATGTTGCTAGGTAACCCAGAAGGAGGTTGTGTTTCAAAATACTTACAAACACACTCATCCATGTAAAGTAAAGCAATATATAAATAGATTTTTTTAAAACACCGTGTAAGAGCCAGATACGGTGGTGCATGCCTCTAATCCCAGCACTCAGGGAGGCAAAGGCAGGCAGATCACTATGTGTTCAAGGCAAGCCTGGTCTACAAAGTGATTCTAGGACAGCCAAAGCTACAAGAGAAACCCTGTCTTGAAAAGCGAACCAAACAAACACAAACAAAAAACACAATCTGTTACAGGCTGGCCTAAATTCTACTTTGTTTATTTGTTTGTTTTTGTTTTTGTTTTTGTTTTTCAAGACAGGATTTCTCTGTGTAACCTTGGC